CCCTCTCTCTCTCTGCCTGCCTCTCTGCCTACTTGTGATCTCTCTCTCTGTCAAGTAAATAAATAAAATCTTAAAAAAAAAAAAAAAAAGAAAAAGAAAAAAGAAACCATGGAGGCCAGAAGGCTATGGCATGATCTGTTTAAAGCACTGGAGGAAAGAAACCCTTTCAACTAAACATTTTATAACCAGCAAAACTATCCTTCAAAAATGAAGGACAGATTGACTTTGCTAGATGAGGGTGACTGGGTGGCTCAGTAGGTTAAGCCTCTGCCTTTCCCTCAGGTCCTGATCTCAGAATCCTGGGATCCAGCCCCACATCCGGCTTTCTGCTCAGCGGGGAGTCTCCTTCCCCCTCTCTCTCTGCCTGCCTCTCTGCCTACGTGTGATCTCTATCCCTGTCAAATAAATCAATAAAAATCTTAAAAAAAAAAAAGACTTTGCCAGATGAGCAAGCACCAAGGGCATTCATGACTGGGGCACATCTGCCCTGTAAAATAATAATAATAATAATAATAATAATAATAATAATAATAAAAAATGGAATCCTTTAGGCTGAAATGAAGGGACAGTAAATCAAATCTGCTTGAAGAAACAAGGAATCCCGCTAAAGGAAACTATATAGGTAAATATAATAGGCAGCATAAGTGCATTTTTCGTTTGTAACTCTTATTTTTTCGCCTGATTTAATTGCATAAAGCACTAATACATCATCTGTAGGGTTGGGTAACGTATAAAGCTGTAATTGTAGGACAATACCAACATGGGAGGGCTTGAGAATGGAGCTATAGAGGAACAAAGTTACTGTGTATTATTGAAATCAAGCTCGTATTAACTTGGACCAGGATGTTAGTTACACCCCAGGGCAACCACCGAGAAAACAGAAGGGCGTGGCCCACTGTGTCACCTGCCAGGGACTGTTTAGATGAGCCCTGAGGACCGACTGCTTGGTTCTGGCAGCATGGAGGTCCCAGGTGCACTGTTCTGGGGGTGGGCTGGGGGAGGGCTGACCGGATGGGTTCAGGCAGAATGGGAGAGAAGGAAGTAAGAGAAAATGAATACAGGCAATGCTTCCATGAACCTTGCTGGAAACGGAAGCAGAGAGCCGGGGATGGGGTGAACGGTGAGAGGTAGCTCACTGGGTTTGCATGCTGGTGGAAAAAACTAGGTGCCGTCTCTCTTTGTGTCATGCGGAAGAATTTTGGAGATTGCCGGCGGACTATTGGAGCGTCGTGCTTCCCACCCGAACGCCCCAGGCACTGGCATCGTGGGTTATTGGGGGGGGGTATGCACACACCCACTGCAGGACATACTAATATTTGGAGGGCAGGGCGGGAGGCGGGAAAGGCGCCGTGAGCTCCGGTCGCGGCAGAGAGCTGGCGGAGGGTAGGTCCGAGGTCCACGCCCCGCCGCCCCGGCCCCGGCCCCGGCCCCGGGAACACCCCTCTGCGCGGCCCGCAGCCGCGTTTTCCCAACTAGTGCAAAGGGCAGCGCGGAGGGGGAGGGGGGAGGGGCTCCTCCCTGCCCGCGAGCGCTGGACGGCCTCCCATTGGCTCCCCTCGCTCCGCCCTCGGTCCCCATTGGCCACGGCGCGAGCGCACGGGCCGAGCACGCTGCCCCGCGCCGCGCAGCGTGTGGCCGGCCAAGGCGGTGCGGCCAATGGGAGCGCCCGCGGGGCGGGGGCCGCGGACGCCGGGAGCCCCGGCGCGGGCGACGCGGTAAACAGATCCGGGGCGCGTGCGGCGCTGGCGCGGCGGTGGCGTGCGCGCGCAGGGGGCGCGAAGGTGACCGCGGAGCTCCGCTTCCTGCCGCGGGGTAAGGCTGCGGCGCTTGGCCGCCGTGCGCTCCGGGGGCACAGCGGGCCTCGCCTTACACTCGCGCGCGCCCTTCCCGCGTCCCGCTCCACCGCGGCGGCTTCCCGTGTCCTTTCCGCTCGTCCGCCCGCCGCGCCTGCCTCCTCTGAGCCCCCGCCCAGTCGTCTCCCTGGCCGGGCTGTTTCAGGGTCTTCGCTCCCGTGGCCCGGCCCCGCTGTCGGGTTTCACGGGGGTTCGGGGTGTACTTGGAGAAGGGGGCCCTTCTTGGTCCTTTTCTCCGTTCGCTTTTCCTGGGCCTTTGGGCTAAATTCCCTGAGCTCCTCCCTCTCCCTAGCCCCAGCCCCCGCCACACGCAGTGTGCCCGTCTGCCTCGGGGACAGGAATGCTGCCATATCAGGCCAGGGTGCTGGGGCTCTCCACGTGGCTGAGAGGTGCCAGCCTACTGAAGGGCGAGAGGCTCTCGACTGGCCGGGCACAGCCCATTGGAACACATGTCCTGCTTCCTGGGGCATTGGGTGTGCGTGACACAAGACCCAAGAGCCGGGCCTGCCAAGCTTAAGTGGTTACCATAGGAGCCCAGAGTGTGCATGATACCAGCCTGCCCGCTGTCCTGTTGTGGATGGACAGGTCATCCTTCCAGGAGGGCCCTTCTGAGAAGAGACAAGGGGGTTCTCTTGGTTCACAGGAGCAGAATCCTTAAGACTCTTGCGATGGCTCTGGGTATTTTGTTCAGCCTTGCAAGTAATGCAGGCAAGCGTTATTACAATTTTTGGCCTAATCTTGTGCACCTCAGAGGAAAAATAACCTAGGTGGTCTGAGCACATCCCTGTGTGTCACCTGAGACAGGGCTTTCCAGTCTTCAGACTCCACGTTTGGGCTGGACAGTTCTTTGCTGTGGGAGGGTGACCTGAGCTTTGTCCACTAGAGCCTGGAAGCAGCTCCCCACCCCAACACACACACTAGTGTGACAATCAAATATTTCTCCAGACGTTGCCGAATGTCTCCTAAATGTCAGAATCGCCCTTGGTTGAGAACCATTGAGCTAAGACTCTTAAGAGTCTTTTAGTGCTGCCAGAGAGGCGTGCTGGGACCTGCCTATGAGTAGCTGAGAGGTTTGGCCCAGGGAAGTGCTGTGCTCCCTGCCCTAAACCAGGGATAGAAGCCGTATAGGTGGGCTTCCAAGGGGAGCTCACCTCTGCACCTGGAGGGACAGGAGAGCTATAGGAGATAGAAACTCATGGGCATCCACTTTGCCTGCTGGATGCAAGGCAGTGATTGGCTGGGTCCAGAGTGCAAAAGGAGAAGGCTGGTGGTTTCTGTCTTTGGAGACTTTGCAAGAGGGTGGGGGATAGGCATGTGAAATAACCATGGGACAGTTTTTAAACAGTGACCAAACAAGTTCAAGCTTCTGAACCCTGGCAGAAAGGCCAACTCCGTTATCCACAAGGTGATACCTTAGTCCTCTTCCTGTGTCTTGTGGTGTGGGAAGGGGCCGGCCCTGGGTGTGCAGAGTAACTGGCTGCATTTCAAGCTGACGTGTGGGGATGTTTACACGTGCTGTGTGCCCCTCCATGAGAGCGTGCAGCACGGACACCTGTATCATTTGTAAAGGGCCTCTGTGGTCGATGGAAGCATCGGTGCCAAAGATGCAGAGAAAGATGCTTTACGTCTGAGTCTAGATGTTGCCCTAAATATAACCTGGAGTTTATTTCCCAAAGTTCTAAGTACCAAATCAATGGGGAATGCAGAATAGCTGAAAAACAGTGATTATGGCATAGAGCAGGGAAGGCTATCTTAAGCCTCTCCCTCCCATGAATTTCCCTGTCTTGTACACACTGTGGGTGTGTACCTGGGTTTTCCCGTTACATTCCTTGATTAGGTAGGCAGTCTTTTGCGTTCCCTTTGTTGCCAGTGGAAAAGGATCTGGACGGAGAGGTCACTTCTCCTTTCTCAAAAAGAAGTTTAGAGAAGTCCAAACTTGGCAGGATAATTTTCCGCCAAGAGCTACGGACACTGAGTCATTATCTTTGTCATTTGAAACAAGAGCTGTGTGCAAAATTAGACAGGAATATTTAGAGCACTGTCTTGATCTGACAGTGGCGTCTGGAAATAGTTCGTACATTCCTGCCGAGTAACGGCCAGGAACTTGGAGCCAGTGGAAGGGAGAGAGTGGCGTGGGGAGTTCAAGGGCCCACGTCTTCAAGAGTGGCTCCTCTGGGATGGGTGAAGTCCGGGGACCCTGAGGCAGGGCCAGTACCCTGGGCACAGGACGTGAGAGGGGGGCTTCTGCCCACACTTTTTACAAAGCTGAATGGGTACCCGCTGGTCTGTCCGCAAGCATATTGTTCCTTGTGTGGTTCCAGGTTCCTGAGCCCTTGACCTCTTGCTTTGAGGTCAGGGGCCTACAGAGTATTTTAAGTTGGAAATGACCCCGAAAATGTCTTTTTATTCTTCATACTTGGGAGTGATTTATTTTCAGTGGGTGCATGTAGAAAAGATTCATGAGAGAGCCAAGTGTTTTTCGCTCAGATTTACATTTCGGGGTATTGTAGAATAGTGACTGTGCTCTTGTCCCGAGAGTCCTAGACTTGTGGGGTTTTTGGTTTTTGTTTTTTTTTAATGTCCTCATATCCTACCTGGGCTGGGGCAAAAGGACTACACTTAGTCCAAACCTGGAAAAATCCCTGTGTGCCCTGAGGGTCAGTGCTCTTCCACACCTTGCCCCTGAGGAAGAGCCCACTCTGGAATTGTAGGGGGATCTGGTTTTAACTCCTCATTGAACACCTCTCGATGGATTGACCTCGTCAGGCACGGCATTGGGAATGTGGAAGTGAACGGCTCCTGGGTCCCTGAACTGGGGGACCTTATAGTAAGGGCCCTCAGTGTGGTTTGGACTAGGAGCTCTGGGTGGAAACTGAAGGCTTCTTGGAGGAGGAGCGTTGGGGGGGCTTTGAGGATGAGCAGGATTTCAGCAGGAAGAGGCAGGAGTTTGGCGGGGGTAGGGTCAGGGATCCGTGCTTCCCAGACTTCCCAGCAGTAAACATGGCTCGGCGTTGCTAAGTTGCAGTGGAAGTTTCTAGGCACTCACTCCTGGGGGCTGTTAGCGGTCCAGGGACCACTGTGTGCCCCGCCCTTATGGTTTGGGTGAGTTCAGGTGAGGCAGAGCAGTGCTTCCATACATTTTCTCTCAGCACTGGGGTCGGGGGCCAAGAGGGCTTGGCTTTGTACTTGCGGCAGTTTCCAGCTGAATTCCGTTCAGGCCAGAAGGGTTGCTGAGCACCCGCAGCTCCTGAGTCCAGCGGCAGCCCAGAGGGCCCCGGAGAGAGACAGACAGAGACAGAGAGTGAGTGTGAGCCACCTGCCCTGATACGTGCACAGTCCGGGGGCTGTTACTCGGCAGGACCCACAGGGGGTACTGGCCCTCTGCTGTGGGGACCCAGGGTGGAACACAAGCTGGTTCTGCTGGAGAAAGGCTGGGAGAATGCTTCCTGGGGCCTGAAAGGTGGGTGCACCCCACCCCACCGCCCGCACCCCAGAGAGAAGTGCTTAGAGGCTGAGGCCAGCCGGGGCAAAGGTCTGGCGGCCAGTGGGTGTTGCTCTGGGGAGGGTGCCAAGGTGGGCTGGTGTGTGCGGAACGGGCAGGGAGACCAGTGAGGCGGGTTGTGAGAAATGAGTGTGGCCTGCGTCCCACATGGGGGATGGCGGAGCGAGGGCGGGGGCAGGTGGGGACGTGGAATGCGAGGCGTGGATTGGAGAGAATAGAAATCTGTGCGGGTGGAGGTCCAGATTAAGTGGCTGGCTGGGCACTGACGGCTGAGGTTTCTAGTTGTGGGGAGGAGCTGTTTGGGGTGGATGGCGGTGTCCCTGCAGAAAATAGGGTGCGGGAGGAGGGGCTGGTTTGGGGGAAGACAGACGGTGATGTTCTAGACACGAAGGGGTTGAGGTACCTCTGGGACTCCACGCCCCCCCACCCCCTTATGTTAAGATTTAATTTGTGTGTGGTGGATTCACCCTTCCTACTAAGTAGTTGTGCAGTTTGAGAGACATGTATGATGTCGGGGCACCTGGATGGCCCAGTCGGTTGGGCAGCTGGCTCTGGTCATGATCTTGGAGTCCTGGGATGGAGGGATCGAGCCCCGCATCAGGCTCTGTGCTCAGCGTGCGGTCTGTGTGAGATCCTCTCTCTCCCTCTGCACCCCCGGCCCCTGTTTCTGCACACACACTTTCTCTCTCTCATAATAAGCAAATCTAAATGGTCACATAATCCTTACTACAGGTGAGGTGTAGAACAGTTCTGTTTCAGACACGTTCCCTATGCCCGTTCATTGGTGCCTGTGGGACTTCGAAGGGTGCTGTGGTGTGTGTGTAACTGGGTTCGTTCTAGAACCGCCTTGGCGGTTGAGATGGCCTGCCCCGGCTGACAGCAGGGATGCACAGACCTAGGGCAACTCCGGGAACAGGGAGGAGCAGTCAGCAGGGGAATTTTTATATCTGGCCCCGGAAGGCAGAGAGAGAGGGTTTGTGGACGTGAGAGGGAATGTTTTTCTGGAAGGAGAGAGTGAAGGCAAAAGCAAGCTGGGTGGGGAGCGTCCTCGTGGAGGAGGGGGAGGAGCTGGGCTGGAAGGGGTAGGCTGGTTCTGAGGGCTCTGAGAAGTGAGCTAGAGGGGGTGCGCACAGGCACATTGCCTCTGGGTGAGCAAGGAGGCAGCTGCAGGGTGAGTGGATGGGAGCCCCGCGGGCTGGGGCGCCGGAAGAGAAAGCAAGGCGGGCGTCCTGTTGTGCCCTCCCGCCCACCAGGCCCTGCTTCTGCCCGCTGCTGAGGAACTGGTGGTTCCTGGTGGGCAAGTGAGTGTGCGTGTGAGTGCATGTGAGTGCAAGTATGTGTGTGAGTCCTTGAGTGTGTGAGTGTGCCACTTTGCGAGTGCACGAGTGTGCATGTTTGCAGAGGTGAGTGCAAGTATGTGAGTTGTGGGAGTGTGAGGTGGTGTGTGAGTACACAAA